TATGCCGTTAAACCCTAAGCCCATAAAGTTTTGGAGAAACCCCAAGCACTAAATTCAAATCGCAAACCCTAAACCCCTAAACTAAGCCTCTAAACCATAAAACTCAACTCTAAACCCTACACTACTACACCCAAAACTCTAAACCCTAAACCCCTGAACCCCTGAACTCTAAACCCTAAACCCCTGAACCCCTGAACTCTAAACCCCTAACCCTAAACCCCTAAACCCCTAAACCCCTAAACCCCTAAACCCCTAAAAACCCTAAAAGCCACGTTCAGCTTGAGGCCCTGGCAAAGAGTGGATACGCCGGGCTGGCCAAGTGGAGCAGTCCGGCGAGCCAAGTATCCACAGCCTCGGCTGGCGTAGGGCTCCGGTCAGGGCCCTTTTCTTGGGGTTTAGGTTTAGGATTTAGGGTTTAAGGCTTAATAGAAATTGTTAAGGGTTCAGGTCCGGAGTTTTGACCGGATTTTGAGCGGGTTTTGGGCGGGTTTTGCCTTTTGCTTTAGCTCTTGCTTGTCGAACGGAAACTGAAAGTGTGAGGGTTCGACCCCGGTGTTTGGGGGGTTCACCAACCTACAAAGTAGGCTGAAACACAGGAAACTCCATTTCGGAAACACAATCCGTCTAACAAAACTCTCCAAAATGCTTGAAGGAGCGGTGCGAATGTCAAGGCATGCAAAGCTTTGTGTGCGTCTGCAGCATGAACCCGCGACCATGCTGCTGAAGCATCTCTGTGGGAGCAAAGGCACGCAGGGCCTTGGGAAAGCCCAAATTGGTTCAAAATCACGAAATTAACCATTTGGCGATTTCCCAAATCCGCAAAATAGGCCAAAAAGCCCTTATTTTGGCAATTTTGGCAGCTTTTGGGGAAGCCCAAATTGGCTCAAAATCACGAAAATTTGCCATTTGGCGATTTCCCAGATCCGCAAAATAGGCCAAAAAGCCCTTATTTTGGCCATTTTGGCAGCCCTTGGGAACGCCCAAATTGGCTCAAACTCACGAAAATTGGCCATTTGGCGATTTCCCAAATCCGCAAAATAGGCAAAAAAGCTCTTATTTTGGCCACCTTGGGAAAGCCCAAATTGGTTCAAAATCATGAAAATTTGCTATTTGGCGATTTCACAAATCAGCAAAATAGGCCAAAAAACCTTTTTTTTGCCATTTTGGCAGCCCTTGGGAAAGCTCAAATTGGCTCAAAATCACGAAAATTGGCCATTTGGCGATTTCCCAAATCCGCAAAATACGCCAAAAAGCCTTTATTTTGGCCATTTTGGCAGCCCTTGGGAAAGCCCAAATTGGTTCAAACTCACGAAAAATGGCCATTTGGCGATTTCCCAAATCCGCAAAACAGGCCAAACAGCCCTTATTTTGACCGTTTTGGCAGCCCTTGGGAAAGCCCAAATTACCCAAAAATCACGAAAATTGGTCATTTGGCGATTTCCCAAATCCGCAAAATAAGCAAAAAACCCTTTGTTTTGGCCATTTTGGCAGCCCTTGGGAAAGCCCAAATTGGCCCAAAATCACGAAATTGGCCATTTAGCGATTTCCCAAATCCGCAAAATATGCCAAAAAACCCTTATTTTTGCAATTTTGGCAGCCCTTGGGAAAAAGCCCAAATTGGCTCAAAATCACGAAAATTTGCTATTTGGCGATTTCCCAAATCCGCAAAATTGGCAAAAAAAAACCTTATTTTTGCCATTTTGGTGCCCTAGGGAAAGCATATATTGGCCCCGGACACACGAACGCGGAGACAGATTCCCGGAAGCACAATCCCAGTCGAAGCACTGCAGACACACCTTTGTTTCTTCAACTTTCGTTTCTGTGCTTGCATTCTGTTCGTGAAACGTTGAAAGCAGAGCAAAATTGATGGGGCCATGCACGTTAAACCAAACAATTTCTATTTATCCTGTTCTTGGGGGTTTAGGGTTTAGGGTTTAGGGTTTAGGGTTTAGGGTTTAGAGGTTCCGTTACTTCTAGGGTTCCTTAAAGGGCTCCTTAAAGGCATCTATAGGGCTCCTTAAAGGGATCTATAGGGACTTAGTATCCAGAGCCTCGGCTGGCTTAGAGGTAGAAGGATTAGGGCTGTAGGGTTTAGGGGTTTCGGGTTTAGGGTTTTCACTCTGCCGACTCCCTGCCCAGTTTGGGCTTGCACAAAGAATGGAGGCTCACCCCAATTGAAGTTAGCCAAGCAAAAAGGGCACACACAAACAAATGTGCACCAGTGAAGCTTATTCTGAAATCTCAACCACCCCCAACTCAGATGACGATGTGCCATGTACTTCGGGTTTAGGGTTTAGGGTTTAGGGGTTTAGGATTTAGGGGTTTAGGGGTTTAGGGGTTTAGGGTTTAGGGTTTAGGGTCTACTTGGAGGGTCATGGCAAGTAAGGCTATAAGTACCTTAAGTGCGGTTATAAGTACTTATAAGTACAGTTACCTTAATTATAACCCTAGTTACTAAGTCCATGATCCTCCTAGTAAGGGCTCTTTTTTAGGGTTTAGGGTGCGAGATGTAGGGTTTCAAGGGTTCCTTCTAAGGCTTAATTAAGGGCTCCTTTAAGGGTCACTCTAACGGTTTCGGGATTCCCTTAAGGCTTAATGAAGGGCTCCTGTGAGGGTTCCTTTAAGGGTCTGTCGTTTCCTTTTATAAGGCCTAGTTAAGGGTGTAGGGCTAAGGGTGCACACAGAGACCCCAATACCCCTTAATTAAGGAATATACCTTAAATCATATTAGGGACCCTACTATAATTTAAGGTATATTCTTTAATTAAGGGGTATTGGAGTCTCTGGGCAGGGCGGGGTTTAGATGTTCCCTCAAGGGGCTCTTTTTGGGGTTCCCTTCAGAGATCCGCAGGGGTTTCGGTCGGGGATCTACAGGGGGTTCCTTTAAGGGCTCCCTTAAGGGTTTAGGGCTTCAAGGCGTCGGGGATCTAAAGCGCTCCTTTAAGGGCTCCCTTAAGGGTTTAGGGCTTCATTTAAGGCATAAGGGTTCCGTTAAGGGTGTAGGGTTTTCGGTATGGGGTTTAGGGTTTAGGGGTTCCTTGAAGGGTTCCTTTAACGGATCTATAAGGGTGCGGGGTTTAGGATTCAAGGTTTAGGGTTTATGGTTACGAGTTTAGGGTGTACGACTTTGTATGTGTGTAGTGGATGATTCTATTGGACAGTAATGATATGAATCGAAAAGGGTTCAGGGTGGGTCAGGGTTTGGGGTGCAGGCAGGATCTAGGGCTTAGGGTCTAGAATCGAATCCTAACACCCAGAATCCCTGAAATTTCACGCCACTTCTACGCAGACACCTTGATCGGATCTCGAAATGAAACCTGGTAGCTGCACGCGGCGTCTGCGACATGATGATGCGCGCCTGCGATGCTTGAGGGCTTGGTTTAGGGTTTGGGGTTTATTTTGGATTTAGGATTGACGCTTTGGGGTGTAGGGCTCTGAGTTGTTAGGGTTTAGGGCTTCTGCGCTACTAAAGCACGCTTTAGTATGTTGGACTGAAAGCCTACCCCAAACCTCCAAGCCCCAAACCCTAAACCACTAAACCTCTAACTCCTAAACCCCCAACCCCTAAACCCTGACCCCTAAACCCCAAACCCTAAACCCTGGACCCTTGTAAACCCTTATAGTAAACCTTGTAGTCCCCTTTTAAGGAACCTTTGAAGGAACCCTATTCTAATCAGGGGGTCCATTTCCTGCTAATCGTCCTCACGGAAACTGAACCTACCTTTGGAGGCCGCGTCGAAAAGGATGTAGATGTAGGGGCCTTAATGATTAGAACAAGGTTCCTTGAAGGGTTCCTGTAAAGGGGTCTATGAATAGACAGTTTCCTCAAGCCCCGAACCTAGAGTCGAAACCCCGAGAGAAAAACAAAAAAGATAAAAAGAGATGAAGGAGAAAAGGCCTGCCGAAGAACCAGTGCCGCCACCAAAAAGACTTCCGCGGTGATCCCGTCCATCCCTGCACGTAGCTTGGGGGTTAGATTCGCTTGAAGAATGCTTCATTGAGGGTCCTACAGGGCTATTCGCTGGAAGAAAAGCTCATTGAGGGTCCTAAAGGGGAATTCGCGTAAAGAAACTTCAACTAGGATTCTCCAGCGGTTCATGTCTCGGCATGTTCGTGATGGGGTTTTGGGGTTTTGGGGCTCAGGGCGCCTTCGTGGGCAATGCTGAAGGGAGCAAGCGTGTCAATCAAAATGCAAACCACAACTGCCGGGCACGAGAACCGAGAACCATCATGCATAATCATAACCCATTTAATCCCCAGTCCCTGAACCCTGAAACTCTAAATCCCAGCACCCTCAACCGAAACACCCCCAACCCTGAACCCTAAACGCTAAATCCCTCAACCCTAAACTCCCCACCCCCACACCCTCAACCCCGACTCCCAAACACCACAACCTGGAGCTACGAAGCAAGAAAGCAACCCTTGCTCTGAACCCGCAATCCGATACAAGTAAGCCTAAACCCCGTACCTTGGGTTAGTAGGGGATGGAAGAATGGTAGTAAGGGATCTACAGGGTTCCTTTAAAGGGATCTATATAGGGGTTCAGGGTTCCTTTAAAGGGATCTTTACCTTTCGTTAGTAGGGAGTGGAGGAATGGGGTACAATTATAACTACTATTACTACCATTCTTCCATTCCCTACTACCCAAAGGCAAGACCCTCAACTAACCCTGAACCTGAATCGAACCCTTTTGGATCCCTCTTCGGGCCTTATATAAGGGTTCAGGGTTTAGGGCTCAGGGTTTAGATCCCGTCTCCAGGCCCCAAACCTATTCCCTCTTTCGGCTTCGACAACTCTGTTTGTCCAGCACGCGCTTCTGACGATCTATGGACGACCAAGTCAAAGGGCTTCGCATTTCGGGTTCCCAAAAGCCTAAACCCTAAAACCCTAAACGCTAAAGCCCTAAAGCCTTGAAGGCTTAAAACCCTAAACCATTAAGAGATTCATCAAACCTCAAAGGACCCAAAACCTTCGAAGCCCCGAATTTGAGGAGCGACGATCTAAGCCGCCACTCGCATTTGTACAAATGCCCGCATCAAGCTCGGGAACTCCTTGGCTTCCGGGACGCCCACCTGGGGTTTTAGGGTTTTGGGGTTTTGGGTTTTGGGGTTTGGTAAGTTTCGGGTTTGGGGGGTTTGGGGGTTTCGGGTTTAGGGGTTTAGGGAATTACGAGTTTAGGGTTTAGGGGTTCAGGGTTTAGGGTTTATGGGTTTAGGGGTTTAGCGGTGGTTTAAGGTTTCAGGGTTCCGGGCTTTGGGGTTCGCCAGGATCCCCCAACGGCCCTCTTATCGAGCTCTTATGGCCCGTAACGGTTTAGGGTTTAGGGTTTAGGGTTTAGGGTATTTGGGAGAGGGTAATTGGGGGGTCTAGGTAAAGCTTTGGGGTTTGGGGCTTAAGGTTAAGGGTTAAGGGTTTCGCCACGGCTGAGGGCTTCAGGTTTAGGATTGAGGGATCAGGGGGCACCAATCTGGGATATAGGGTCCGAGGTATCTTGTAGCGGTTTAGATGATTATCAAAGGTGCTTTGTAAAGGTCGTATACCGATTTCGAGGCAGGGGTTGTCTACTTCTTGTGGGGTTTCGGCGGGGTCTTTCCTTCTGAGACACCAACCTGAAGGGCTGTAGGTTCTGAAAGGCTTCAAGTTGTTTTCGGATGGGATTATCCGCCGATCCCGTTTAGGCATCCTTTCTTGTGCGTTTTTTGCTGGTCAGGTCCTTCAGGGATTCCGTATAGGCTTCCTTTCTGCAGGGTCTGTTCAACGAGGGCTTTCTATGGCTTTAGAGTGGCTTTATCGTTTTACCTCTACCGGGACGCGAACCTGCGGGCCTCACTGCATAAGGTTAACAAACTGTTGGTTAGGATTCTCCTGAAAACTTTCCAGTGTTTTAGAGGAGGGTTGTAGTGCACTGTAAGAGGTTTATAGACTTTTGCTATGGCTTTGAGCGGAGCGGCTTGTGGCCTTTACAAAGGTTTTGAGGGCTTCTGTCTGCAATATGAAGTCCCCCTTGTAAAGTAAACTCTCAACCCAACCCTAAACGTTTCAGGAACACTAAACTGGGTTGTGCTTTAAGCCCTTTGAAAATTATTTATGAATAGGTTCCCTTTATAAGGAAATAAGGGAGATTCAAAAATTATCCCAAAGCACAACCCAGTAATTATACAACCCTCTCAGTCTTCCCTGATGGGAGGCCAGATGGGGGGTCTAACCCCCATAGGCTAAAACCCCTTTTGGCCTCCTATGATACCCTTATCGATCCCTTTAAAGGAACCCTTATAGATCCCTTTAAAGGAACCCTAGGGATCCCTAACCCCCATAAGCTAAGACCCCTTTTGGCCTCCTATGATTCCAGTGTCTTCCAGCAAGCTCAGGTTAGGGCCCCAAAAAAGCACATAAGCAAAAATTAGGATCGGGATATCCCATATAAAACCCCCTTATAATGAAGCCCACTAAGGTAGTGGTATCCCTATAAAATGCTTATGCTTATGTGACATGTGCTTTTTGGGTCTCTAAAGCTTCAAGGCTGGCACCAGGATCCTCAACCCTTAATTAACCCTAAACCCTAAACCCTTAATGAACCCTAAACCCTAAACCCCACCTTTATAGATCCCTTATAGGAACCCGTATAGTTCCTTTAAAAGGAACTTTAGGGATTCCAGCGTCTTCCAGCAAGCAGGTGTCAAGCTGCCTCGCAGAGAGCGCAGGAAGTCACCGGCGCAGCGGCCAGCTTGCCTCCGCTTCGCAGGATTTAAGGCGTCCGGTCTAGGACATGAGATTTAGGAGTATATTTTAGGGCTTCATCATTATAATAGGAGTACAAGTTAGGGCCTTAATAAGTAGAATAGGGTTTTGGAGCCCATTATACCATCATTATAACAAGGAGCCCCCAAAATAGTATAAGTAACTCTTTAGGCCCCTTTTCTTATGTTTGTTAAGCCCCTTTCTTAGTTTAGGGTTTAGGGTTTCAGATTTTGGGTTCAGTGATCAGATCAGAATATGACTCGGTCCCTTGTGGGTTGAGCGAATGATACTGTTGATGACGACATAAACTGTTCCTGGGCTTCCTTTAAAGGGATCTCTAAGGATACCTTTAAGGGGCTCTTTTAAGGGATCTATAGGGTTTAGGGTTGGGGGTTGATGATGTAAATCCTGCATTACTCATAATAATAGGGAATATACCATAATTCCCATTGGTTAGGGTCCCTGAGGTAATGCAGAATTTATATCATCAACCGTAGTTTGGGCCTCCCTTGCTTCAAGCCAAGATCAACTTGAGGGTTTTGGAGTTCCGGATTTGGCGTTTAGGATTTAGGATTCAGGGTTTAGGGTTTAGGATTCAGGGTTTAGGGTTTAGGGTTTAGGGTTTAGTTCCGGATTTGGCGTTTAGGGTTTAGGATTCAGGGCTTAGGGGTTTTAGGGCTGCTTCAGGGCTTGAGGCAGCTTTGTCTTAGCGGCCGGACCTGTGACCCTTACCTGTACATTGCTGTAACTATGATACATGTATCTAAACGCTTAAACCCCTAAACCCTAGGCTCTAACACCCTAAACCCTAAAACTACAAGGTCTTTTCTTTAGTTTCCAGTGGTGGTGTCTTGCGGTCCTGCTCTCGAGTTCAGAAGGAAAGAATCGAAGTACACATCATCGCATCATCACACAGGCGTCTTAGCAAGAGCTCTGAGTCGAAGCCACTGAGGTTTAGGGTAAGGGTTTAGGGTTTAAGGTTCGGGGCTTAGGGTTCAGAGATTAGGGTTTCGGGTTTCGGGGTTAAGGGTTCGGCGTAAGGTTTACCTCCAACCCCCCAAAACATGAAGAACAAAACCCGAAATCCCAAAACCCTAACACTCGAAGAGCCTAAAGTTGTAAACCCCTCGAACCTGAGAGTTCTAAACCCCTTGAAGAAGCACTCTCTGGAAACCCCGACGAACCCTTCCCTTCCCTATAGAACCCTTACAACACCCTCCAAAGCCATCTTAAGCCCCCCTTTGCCAGACCTTTCTAAAGCCCTAAAGCGCCACTTTAGCCTCTAAACCCCGTTCCATGCCTCCCCAAACCCCAAAACCCCAAACCAACCCCGGGAGGAAACCCCTAAACTGGGTTCTTGTAAGCAATTTAACATAAGTTACCATAGTAGAGAAACCCGTGTAGAAGGATGATCTACACCGAGTTGCAAAAGTCCAAGGCCATGGTGTCGAGGTCACGTTCCACCCTCGCCCTGAACCCGACGCTTTTGGTTTAGGATTCTTAGGGGTTTAATGTTTTGGGGTTGAGGATTTATGCCTTAAGGCTTTGGGGTTTAGGGTTTTGGAGTTGTGGATTGAGGGTTTCAGGTTTGCAAAACTCTCTTGCTAGCCCTGAACCCGTTTGGAGACTTTTGGGTGGAGGACTTGGGACTCTAGGTTCCGGGATTTTCGGACTTTACAGCTTAGGGCCTGGACTGTATAGAGGTTAAGCTCTTCTTCCACAAATTTACGGGTTTAGGGCTTGGTCGACTAGGGATTCCGTAAGGGTGTACTAAGGGCTCTGTTTCCTTAAAGGAACAGCATTTTTCTGGCGGTAGGGCAAGGGACTTACAAGGGTTCTATGAGAGTATACGTGGGTTGTAGAAGTGTTTGCACGCCTTCAAATTTCAAGGTCCCTTTTGTGACGAGCATTCGTCAAAATTACGGATCCTGTGTTTTCAAGAACTTCTCCCTAAGCGCAGCGAGAGACAGGAAGGGAGGGAGGGGGGGACAGACCAGACCGCGCGCAATGTCGAGAACACACAGATTAAATACGTATTCCACATGTCCCGTAGGTGCTTAAAGAAAAATGCGACATTTGCGCCTCAGCAATCTCAATCAAGCCTACTCTCACTTTGCCTGAATCTCTATACGAAACTCCCTAGACGCTAACCCCGACGCCACCCGAAACCTAAGCTCTAGAGGCGCGTTCAAGCCAGTCGTTCTGGATATAGGCCCCCTAAGCCTTTCAGGGTTTAGCTTTGGGTACCGCCCCCACCCTGTAACAGTCCATACAAACTGCCAGAATAAAAGGGGAAGGTTTAGCTTCTTTTTCAGGGCCGTAAACCCTAACCCTAAACCATATGATAACAAACCTGAGTTGGGATTTGGGTTTGGGATTTGGGACTGGGGCTGGACAGCTCCACAGGGAGCCGAAGTGCATAATAGAGGGCGTTGATAACTTGAATTGGTTTTAGGTAGTACCGCATAACCCAATGCTGCTATTAGCAATTATTCGGGTTCTGTATTGTCTGTGAAGCGGGTTGAGCTGCTTGGCTTGAGGCCTCAGCGCCTTCACAAACAAAGTCCACGCAAAAGGCTGCGGCTTCAGAATTGCAAAGGACCCATGTGCCCAGTACAAAAACGATTGCGAGAGATACCCGCTGATCCTTGACCCTACATCCTAGACCCTGAACCCTGAGCCCTAAACTCACAGCTCAAAACCCTAAACCTTTAGCCCGAAACCCTGAACCCGAAACCCTAAAAGCCCTAAGCCAACCCTGACCGCCAATCCCAGACGCCCCAAAAGGCGAACTGAAGGTCGAAGTCCAACCACCCCAACACAAGGCCTTGAGACTCAGGTTTCCTTTAAGTTTAGTACGGGAGTTCCTTCAAGGGTTCCTTTATAGGGTTTAGGGTTCCGTTCAGTTTACTAGAGGGGTTCCTTCAAGCCACCCAACATCGGAGCCTTCGTAATTAGATCTTTGGGCTCTGGGTTTAGGCTAGAAGGGACCCCCAGCCTGTAATAGTGACTACATGGATCATATTATAGTGCCCTATTATACCACTATTACAGGGTGGGGGCCCCTTCTAAGGTTTAGGGGTTAGGGCTTGGGGGCCGAGGGTTCCTGAACTTTCAAAGTCTCTCACCCGAAACCGTCAAAACAGATCGCCTGTCCGCGCCGGAAACCTTCTGCAGCCGCCGCGCGCCTTGAAACGCCTCATCACGGAACCTCGGAACGAAGTTGTTCAGGGGTTTAGGGTTTAGGGTTTTAGGGCTTAAGGTTTAGGTTTCGGGGGCTGGTGTTTCTGTCTTATCAGGGATCCATCAGAAATTAAAGAGTGTACTATATGAGTTGGAAAGCTCACATGGTTTGACGCTTAAAACGAGTACTGATGCTTTTAGCTTTGGGTTCTGGGGCTTCAGGCGTTTCCTTCAAGCTTGTTCAGGTTCTATTCAGGTTGATGAGAATGTCCTGCCGTCCTAACACAAAACCTTGAAACCCTCTAACCCTGGAAAAAAGCTACAGGAAACTGGCAGCCCCAGGTAGAGATCCACCATATCATGCGAAACGGCCCATGTGCATTCGGGTCTCTGTTCGGATGTGACAAGTGTAACCATCACAAAAATTCTAACAAAAATTCAGCGACGTGTGTTGTGCAAGTTCTGTTGAGGGTTCCTGTAGAACTCCCACCTGCCATGCCCCCGAAATCGTCAGAACAAGCCGCAAAAAAAAGATGCAGAAACCCCGCCCTTAAACCCTGAAACCCTAAACAACTAAACCCTAAACACCTAAACCCCCTTTACCCCTAAACCCCAACAATCAACCCATAAACCCTGATAACTTGAAGCCTAAACCCGAAGTTGGCCTTATCCTCAACTCCAAACCCTTAACCCCTAGACGCTGAACCGTGAACCCTGAGCCTTGAACCCTGAACCCGAAACCTTAAACCATGAATCCGAAACCTGTCGTTTGCATAATTAAGATACAGACATACCTACCTACCTACATACATATATACCTAACATACATAAACCACATAACATACATAAATCACATAACTTACCATACTGGGCTTAAGGGTGAAAACCGTGATCGAACGTTTCCGGCCGGTTCGACAACCCGTGATCCAGCGCTTAGGGCCTACCGTAACACCAACTAACATACCCCTTTCGGGAACAAGGAGGCCTACTTTAAGGACCTGTTTTTACGGGAATCAAAATCAGGAGGCCGACTTGAAGTACTGATTGAGGTAATTATAATAAAAGGGCCTGCCTTTAAGTACTTTCTTGAAGAAATTACAATGAAGGACTCTGTTTAAGGAAGTTAGAAATAAGGAACCCTAAACTACAGGGGGTTTTATCGGCAGGCGGCATAGCTCATCGTGCAAGCCCACGAACTTTTGGGACGTCGTATGCTCCCTTCGCTTCTCGAGTAAGCCTATTGAAGCACCATGATTGGTCTAAGCTGGAAAACAAAAATTGACTGTCTGGCGGTTGCGGCGTGAATAACGTTCTAGTTTCAAGGCTTTGGGATTCTATGGGCGAGCTGGCACTTCCCCGGTTACCTAAGTACACTGCTTACCTGATTTCTAAGCCTAAGCGTTACTGCCTGCATGCTCTTGAACCCAGCCTAACCACCCAACCCGATTCCTAGACTCCCAACCCTGAACCCCAAACCCTAGAACCTAGACCCTAAGTCCAAGCTCAGGCACAACTTCAGCGCAGACCTGGACTTGCTCAGGGCTTCACGGTTCCGTTCCAGGGCTCTTTGAGGGTCAGGGTTTAGGAGTTTGGGGTTTAGGGTTTAGGGTTTAGGGTTTTAGGGTTTTAGGGTTTAGGGTTTAGGGTTTCGGGTTTAGGAGTTTGGGGTTTAGGGTCTGGGGCTCCGGGTTCAGCGTTCAGGGTGCAGGGATTGGAGTATAAGTAGTATAAAGAGTTAAGGGTTCTATAAGGGCTTCGTTCAGGGTATTATGTCTAGGGCCTGCTTAAGTTAAGGGTGTAATATGGGGAGGGGGGGGGGGTTCGTGATGAGACTATGGTTTTGAGCAAAACATACTGTAACCATCGTAGGAATCCGGGAACGTGAGAAAAGCTCTTGGCTTATGCTCTCTGACGCAAGTCGTGTCTGTTTTGAGGTATAGTAGCTGCTTGCTACCAGTAGGTGTCTCCGCTTCTCTTTCTATGCCGTCTATGTGAGGATGGCCCTGGGCTCATGCTCTCGCGCGCGAGTCGTGTCCCTTCTTGGAGTAGTTACTAGTTGTTTGCCAGGGGTCTGGTCTGTGCTTAAACTTCTATGCCGTCTGAGACAAATATTACAAAGGATACTGTCAATGAATATTAACGGGTCAAAATGTAAATTAAAACAACGGACTAAACTCGAAAAAACAATCGACAACACTGATCAATGTGGTGGCAGTAGAAAAATATTGGAGGGTGCCCCATTCGATCTAAAAAGCTGTCGATTCATAAGCTGTGCATTCGCACGAAGAACGCATCGCCCAAGAAAAAGAACAGTGCGCCCAAGGTCCCCCGGACTTTTTGCTACCACCCAGACAAGTTTAAGTTTGGGAGCGAGGCAACCATGCAAAACCGGCACAACTAAGTGCTGCTCTAAACCCTAAAACTAACAAAGCACCCTGAAACCCAAAAGCTCAACACCCTAAGCCAACAAAGCACCTTAAACTCCCAAAGCCCTAAAGCCTAAACCAACAAAGCACCCTAAACCCTAAAAGCCCTAAAGCCCAAAACCAACAAAGCACCCTAAACACCGAAAAACCCTAAAACCACCCTAAACCCTCAACCCTAAAACCGTAAACCCTAAACCCACAAAGTGTTCTCGAACAGAAGCCCAGACACATGGCCGCCCACTCGTCACCGCGACATAGGAACCAGTCCACAAAGCCTTGAAGAAGGATTAGGGGCATAGGGTTTACGGGTTTAGGGGTTTAGGGTTTAGGGGTTTAGGATTTAGGGTGGGTGTACTTGGAGGTTCATGGGACTAAGTAAGTATGGTCAGAGGCACCTTAAGTGGGGTTATAAGTAACCACAAGTATAGCTACCTTTACTTTTCCCTAAGCTACGAAGTCCCATGATTCTCTAAGTAGGGTTTCGGGTGATGCCTTCTTTTGGGGAGTCCGACATGGTACCTTATTCAAGGGGTTCCCATATTGAACTCCATCCCACTTGTTAAAACTTCTTGTAGGACCAGGACAAAGAAGCCGCCCCGCAATACACGGGATATTCGCGCGCATGCTAAGCTTAAGCCCTGTAGAGAGGTGGGGTTTATTAACCTGGTGTCTGGATTAACTTAAGAATCTGATTAAGAATCCCTCAGCCTTCGCTGGGGTTCTTTTTATGGATCCTAATATAGTGGGGTGATATGGCCAGGGTTTCGTAATCAAGTTCCTACAGTATATATACTTGTGCTGGTATAGCTTGCATTCACCAGGCGGGGCCATGCATTGCCGATGTGGCTCCGGGTTGCTCTGTGCATGGACCTGGTTGAATAGTGGAGGGTTGTTTCCCACCAAGTATTGAATCCTTTCACTCAATGACCAAGCAATCCCTAAACCCTAAACCCTAAACCCCTCAATCTGATGCGTATGCCAAGACGAGGGTAAACCACAGGCTCTGGACAGTTGTACGTACACTAGACCCAAGAGTAACCTAGGAATAAAAAGGGTGCCCTTTTTGGTTTAAAGGGGCTTATAAGGGAACCTGAAACCTTAAAAAGGGAATAAGGGCCTACTCTAGGTCCTAGTAGAGTCGTGAGCCCCAAACCATCAACTCCAAAGCCCAAACCGTAAACTCCCAGCCCGAAAACCTTAACGTTAAACCGGATTCTTGTTCAGGGACTTCGTTTAAGTTACCATAATAAAGAAACCATATCATTCAGTATAGAATATAGAACCCTATTATGTATGGTAACTTAAACTAACTTCCTTAACAAGAACCCCATGAACACGCTTAAACCCAGCCCCCAACTTATAGTATCCTTAAGGGAGGGGGCTCCAAGGGGGGTACATAGCCTAGTGATCCCTAACTCTCCCTAGTACTCCCTAAGGTTCCCTTAAGAATTCCTTGTACCCTAACCGCTTGAACCACCCTCCCTTAAGGATCCTATAACCAACCCAGGATCCGGTAATCCTCAAGACTGGACCCACAGACCTGAAGCACTCAACCCTAAACCCTCACCACTAAGCCCCTCAAGTCTGAAACCTTAGGGTTTAGGGGTTTAGGGGTTTAGGGTTTAGGAGTTTAGGGTTTAGGGGTTTAGGGTTGAGGGTTGAGGGTTTAGGGTTTACGGTTTTGGGGTCTAGGGTCCCTAAACCCTCACATCCGCAGACCCGAAAGAACTGAAGCCTAAACTCGGTATCCTGAAACCCCCGATCCAGACTTCCAAAACCGCAAACTGAAACCCGGTGACCCAAAACCCAGACCCCTCAACCCCGAAACCAAAACTGAAACCCGGTGACCCAAAACCCAGACCCCTCAACCCCGAAACCAAAACTGAAACCCGGTGACCCAAAACCCAAACCCCTCAACTCGGAAACCCTCAAACAACCTCAACCCGAACCAACAAACCTGGAAAAACCTGCATGGAGGATTCTGGGACATAGTAAGTAAGGCCATAAAGTACTTCTAACCGCACTTCCTAAGTCCCATGGTCCTGTTAAGTGGCACAGTCCCGCTAAGTGGCACAGCCCTGCTAGAATCGAACCATGCGAGGATCCTTTGCTCCCTTACTTAAAGGCTCCTTTAATCCCTTAAAGGACCCGTTAATCCCTTATGGGTTCCCTCAGAGTCTTAAAAGTTCCCTTAAAGGATCCTTTGACATCCCCTTAAAAGGGCGCTGAACCCTAAACCCTGAAACCCTAAACCCTAACATAAACCCTAAAGACCCTAAACCCCAAACCTTGAACCTTGAAGCCTAAACCCCTAAAGGACTCTAAAGTTTGACTCCGAAAGGCGCATGCCGCAGCTCTTCGTGCCCAGGATCGTCTCGGTCTGGTCCAGGACCCTTGGGATGCACGACGTGCTTCTTCGGTGGTTTGGGTTTAGGTTTAAGGGTGTAGGGTTTACGGTTTAGGAGTTTAGGGTTTAGGGTTTAGGGCTTAGGGGTCTAGGGGTTTAGGGTTTGGGGGACCCTTGGGATGCCAGACGTGGGGGGGGGGGGGGGGGGGGGGCGTTTCTTAGTTTAGGGACTAGGGTTTAAGACGTGTTTCTTACGTGGTTGGGGGGGCTTTCTTAGTTTAGGGACTGGGGTTTAAGACGTGCTTCTTTGGTGGTTTGGGGCTTTCTTAGTTCAGGGATTAGGGTTTAAGACGTGTTTCTTAGGTGGTTGGTGGCTTTCTTAGTTTAGGGACTGGGGTTTAAGACGTGCTTCTTTGGTGGTTTGGGGCTTTCTTAGTTCAGTGATTAGGGTTTAAGACATGTTTCTTAGGTGGTTGGGGGCTTTCTTAGTTTAGGGACTGGGGTTTAAGACGTGCTTCTTTGGTGGTTTGGGGCTTTCTTAGTTTACGGATTAGGGTTTAGGGTTTCTTTGTTGGTTTGGGGCTTTCTCAGTCTAGGGATTGGGGTTTAGGGTTTAGGGTTCTGGGTTTAAGGTTTAGGGTTTTTGTGGCGTTCTTGGTTTAGGGATCAGGGTTAAGGGCTCAGGCTTTTTGCTTTAAGGGCCTTTTTCCGTTTGCTGAGTCCTCCCAGGGAAGCAGGCTCGGTTGGGCACCTGCTTGATTCAGCTGTGCCTCAAAGCTTCTACTACTTAGAAAATCATGCGACTTAGTAACTAGGGTTATAATTAAGGTAAGTACACTTATAATTACTTGTGACCCCACTTAGGGTACTTATAACCTTACTCTCTAAGTCCCATGATCCTCCAAGTAGCGTTTAGGGTTTAGGGCCAAGGGTCGATTTGGTAGGTTCCCCAGTACAGTAGCCCCTTGATGACAAGGGCAGTCGTTTGCCGAATATTTCGTGGCAGTACGGCAAGTCAAAAAGAAGAAGTGCAAAAGGGTACTAGGTACTGGAACCCAGCTTCGGTGGTTTAAGGTCTAGAGTTTGGGGTTTTTGGGTTGAGGGTTTGGGGTTCCTTGGGGTGGAAGGCCCAGCCTGTGGGGGGTTTTCTTAGCTTAGGGGTGAGGGTTTTGGGTTTAGGGTTTGGGTTTAGGGTTTAGGGTGCAAGGTTGCGGATCCACGGCTCAGCGTCTCGGTGTGCCTATTCCAGGATTCTGCAAAGGCTTTTCGGGGATTCTGTGGATTTGAGGTTTGGGATCGGGGTATAGTCGCTTCTTTGCGGGTCCCATAAAAGCTTCATGAGGGCTTCCAGACGTGTTTCTCATGTTTTACAAGGTCTTTACATTAGTTCGCTGGGCTTGCGAGCTGGGTGCCCCAGACTCTTGACCATGAACCCTAAGCCTAGACCCTAAACCCTGAGTTTGGGGTGTCGGGCTTGGGGGTGGCAAGGGCACAACCAGTTCTAAGTTCTTCAGGGTTTGAATGAAGCTTACTTCGGGCTCATGCTTATACTGCAAAATCTTGCGGTTTAGGGGTTAAGGTTCGGAGTCATGGTTTGGGAGTGTAAGTTTATCTTCGCGACACGAAGCCCAAACCTTATTAGCAACTACGAGTTGAGACGAGGCTCTTTTCGAGGATGTCGTTGATCCTATTGAAATCCGCTTGGAAGCCGTCGATTTCGCCCTCGGGAATCACCTGACAACACTTTAGGATGTAGGGTTTCAGGTTCTTGGATTTCTGGTAGGGTTTAGGGTTTAGGGCTCCTTTCAACGAGATTCAAGACGTTTCATGTCCAAGTCAGCTGTTTCCTGGGCAAAGACCTCTGGGCCAAAGTCGGATCCCTGGTTTGAAATCATGCAATGCTATCAGGGTTTGAGGCTTAGGGGTTCAGGTTTTGGGGTTTAGGATTTACGGTTTCGGGTGTAGGGTTTAGGGTTCGGAATTAGGGGTTAGGGTGTAGGGTTTACGAACACCGTCCAACACCTGAGACCGTACAGCAACTCATCCTCATGCTAGTTCTGACATACCGGGCCGCACTACAAATGTGCGTTCATCGCCAAGGCTGGCAGGACGGCTTTCGTCCCCAGAGAGCCCAATACCCCTTAAGTAAGGAATATAACCTAAATCATAATATGAAGCCCTATATAATTTAAGCCATATTCCTTAATTAAGGGGTATTGGGCTCTCTGGGTCAATCCGCCTTGGCAGGCAGCTCCTTGGCAACTGGCAGGCCCGATCATAGAGAGGCTCAGCCTGCCGTCTACAGGTGCTACTTGGAGGATCATGGGACTTAGCAAGTATGGTCTTAAGTACCCTAAGTGGAGATAAGTAGTTATAAGTAGAGTTGCCTTAAGTATTATCCTAGCTACTAAGTCCCATGATCCTTTAAGTAGACCCTAAACCCTAAACCCTATAGATCCCATTATAAGCAACCCTATAGATCCCTTTAAAGGAACCCTTATAGGTGCGAGGTTCCAGCCTGCTGCAGGAGGCATCATCGCCTCGAGCCTCACGGTGTCCAGCGGAGTGACCGCCATGGCAAACATGCCGCTTAATGGGGATCCCAGCATGGCTGGTTTAGGGTTTAGGGTTTAGGGCTTAGGGTTTAGGGTTTAGGATTTAGGGTTTAGGGTTTAGGGTTTAGGATTTAGGGTTTAGGGATTAGGATTTAGGGTTTAGGGTTTAGGGTCATCACCGCCTTGGCCGTGGAGAGCATCAGGCGCAGGAAGGCAGGAACCAACTTTCTGGTCATCAGCTGCTCATGCTCCTGTGGAGTGTGACATTTGACCTGGTCAGCGGCGGCGTCGCCGAGTCGTGGCAGAGCGTCTTAGTTATACTTATGCATACTTTAACTGCATGGAACGCCAAGCTTGCCGCCACAGCCACTTAGGTACAGGTAGTGGCGAGCAGGCTTTTCGGAAGTTTCAAGCTCGAAAAACACGAAGTAGGAGTGAGGGTTAAGGGCTACGGTCCAAGGGCCTAACCGCCGAAAACGAGCCCAAAACCCTGGACCCTAAACCTTGAACCCTAAACCCAAGCCCACACCGTAAACCCAAAAGCCTACACCCTAAACCCCAAGCCCTAAAACCCTAAATCCTAAACCCTAAAACCCTAAACCCTAAACCCCTTAACCCTAAACCGGGCCTAAAGCCCTAAACCCTACACCCGACAACCACAAAAACCTCTGAAGGCGACTCAAAGTGTGCAAAGGAAACTGATAATGTGGCTAGGGTTCCTTTAAAGGGATCTATAGGGGTTCAGGGCTCCTTTAAAGGGATCTATAGGGGTTCAGGGCTCCTTTAAAAGGATCTATAGGGGTTCAGGGCTCCTTTAAAGGGATCTTGACCTTTGGTTAGTAGGGAACGCAACGGCTTAGCGTTTAAGGCTTACCTCAACCCCACGTAACCTACCTTTTTAAGGACTTATATAAAGAGATCATATTAGGGAACCCTAAAAGGGTAGGTTCCTTAGGGTCCAGGTAGGGTTTAGGTGGGTTCAGCATGTTCAGGGTTAGTGTAGTGAAAGCAAACTCCTTCGCAGAGCTCCTTTACAGGGGTCTTTACAGGTTATTCTGATGTTGGGGCCGCAAGAATTCAGCCATTTAAGTATGGTTTCAAGTATTTATGTTATACTTTTGACTACAGCAGCAACAGAGCCATAGTTATTCAGGCTTCTATACTGTTGATGGACGAAATCCTGCATGACCCTAAGGACTCTCAACTATGGGAACTATGGTATATCCCTTATAAAGGGCAATGCAGGATTTTGTCTAGGATATCCAGTAACCTAAGAATAAAAAGGCCTCTCTTTTTGGTATTGGGTAACTTTATAAGGAACCTAGGACTACAAAAAGGGAATAAGGGTACTACTGGGCATCCTAATATTAAGCTTCACTCCGAAGGCTTAAAACCACTTCGACTGCGCCGGTGCCTGGGCAGTTGCCAACGCCAGGTCGTGGAGAATATGCGGTCCGACGCCGAGCCTTGAGGGTGTACAGTTTGGGGTCTAGGGTTTAGGGTTTAGGAAGTTTAGGGTTTAGGGTTTGGGGTTTATGGTTTAGGGTTTAGGGTTTAACAGAAGTTTAGAATTTAGGCTTCAGGGTTTCGGGCTTGGGGCCTCTGCTACCAGGGTAGGGGGTTTGGGGGTTCAGGGGTTTAGGGCTTATGGTCCAAACCTCCCAAGATAGCGTCCGCAATGGTCCTTGTGGGGTACGTATATTATGGCATGACTAGAGAGACACTTCTCGGGACTTTATCGCTAGCTGTTCAAACCTCTATATTGACAGGGACTGGGGTTCGTGGTTCGCATGTAGGTCATATGGATTGAGCCAATGTGTTGGTTCAATTCCTGCTCGTTCCTGCGAGGATTTGTTCCTAACATGAGCCCATAAATTTCTCCTGCGTGGGTGCACGGTTGAGGCCATTGCTACTTTAGGAAGTGGGGTTTAAGGTTTCGACGTGGGTGCGCTATTGAGACTTCGATACGGGTAGATGTCAAACTTCTGGTCCCTTTTTGGGTACCCTAAATATTAGGTGCCGTATTATAATAGGGACCCAAAAAGGGACCCCAATTTTGACAACCACCCATACGGAAACACATGGGATTTTTGACTTGGGTTGGAAGATCGATCAAGTGCTTCTTGGGCAATACCCAGACCACCGGGAGGATCCAAAAAGTAGATCCCTTAATGGGGGCTTCCTGTAAAGTACCCTTAGTAGTATAGGCCCCCAAATTAGGGGATCTACTTTCTAGATCCTCCCACTTGTTCTTCCAAGCGCTTGCGATATGTTTTGGCGTTCCCGGCTTGACCTTGTCTACACCGTGCCAGTGTATGTTGATCAGCTTCCCGAGCATATTGCAAGGATGCCAAAACGAAAGGGTCGGGGGCAACTCTTGGGGAAAACCCCCATCTGTGAGCCAAGAAAATCATGCATGGGTTTCGGCTCGAGACTAAAGCCCTATAAAGGGCTCAGGGTTTGGTGGTTCAGGATGCTTTTTAGGGCTTAATGCCGTACAGAACTCAATGCAGGGCTTTTGAGCTTCCCTGGTTGCATGCGCTCCTTGGAAATTACAACCGAGCTTGGAATCAGCATACACTATAGTTGTGATTCAGGGGGGTATAGGGGGATACTGAGACTGAGATACTGTTCCGAAGTACTCAGATCCCTATCTTCCACCCCAATCCCTAAACCCCTAAACCCTAAACCCGTATTGTAACCCTTATTTGAGTAACCCTTATAGAAACTGCTATGGGAATCCTTATGGTAACAACTACTCGAAACCAACACTTCCGCCCAGCTGCAGCATGTGCTGCGCCGCCGTGAGTCCCCGGATGGATGCCACGCCGAAGAAGAATCCCCAGCTCTGGGTGACCTCGCTGGTTCAAACGCCGTACAAAGGTGTTTTTGTGGTTTAAGGTTTAGAGTGTTATGATATGTATGCATGCATGCATGTTTGTAGTACATATTTACACCTGCCGTTGTAGTTTTATCATTTCGTCAGGCATTTTTCTTCGCTTGCCTATTTTGCGAATATGGTCTTTGACGGTATTGGTTCTAGGTTACCCAGTAACCTAGGAATAAAAAGGCCTCTCTTTTTGGTATTGGGTAACTTTATAAGGAACCTAGGACTAAAAAAAGGGAATAAGGGCACTACTGGGCATCCTAGTCTCGTTATAGCGGCTTGTCTGATGCACGGACATAGGTTTAAGATTCAGCAGCTAGGATGAAGTCCGCGTCGCCGCGTGCGTTAAACGTTTCGGCTTCTGGCTATGAGGTCTTATGTGGGTTTAGGGGGGCTTGAGGGTGCAGGGTTTAAGGGTTAGGGCTTAGGGTTTAGGGCTTGGGTTTAGGGTTTGGATTTTGCTTTGTAGGGGGTGAGGTTTCAGTTTTGGCGTTCTGGGGGGCTGCTGTTCAGGGCTTACATGGGAGTGTCCGAACATAGGTGACCCTAATATATTACCCTAAATAGTAGGATCCTTATTATAAGGACTCCAGAATAAGGTACCTCTAATTTTCGGAAACTCTAAACCCTGATAGAGCCCTTTAAAGGGACCCTTATAGATCCCTTTAAGGAGCCCTTATGGTAACCGTTTAAAGGAACCCTAGGACCCCTATTTTCGGAAACTCCCACATGGTGTTCGGAACTTCAAGCTTTGGGGTTTGGTGGGTTGCCAGAGTTGGGGTTTCGGACTTATGCCTGGGGTTTAGTGGTTTGGGGTTTAGGGTTTGGGGTTTAGGGTTTAGGGTTTAGGAAGTTTAGGGTTTAGGGTTTAGCGGCTTAGGGTTTAAGGTTTACGGTTGCTGATGGCCTCGTCGCCGTCTTCAATAATTGTTCGACACTGGTCTGAGTAGTTGCGTCTGAACCGTCCTAAACTGTATACCATAGTAAACCGTAACTCCTTGAACCTCATCAAACCCTAGAGCCCTAAACCGTACAGAACCCTAAAGCCCCAAAGGGTTAGGGTTTGATTGGGTTTGGGGTTTGGGGTTTTGGGTTTAGGGCGTAGGGCTCACACTCAAACCTCACAGAACCCTACGGAACTAATCGCTTGAAGGTCCAAAGCGACGCGGCAGGACATGAGAAGTCAGAGGTCACAGTCAGACCAGTCTGCCAGCGGCGGTCATGACACCTTCGCCTGCAAGCGGAGGTCGCGCTTGTGCAGCTTGTGCACGACCCCGTCCGTGCGCCCCTCAATCGATGCAGTGGTCCCACGCCGTGGTTTAGACATCACTCACATTTGTGTTCGAACCTCCGCGGACAGGCGGTCGTTTTGCCATTCCCGGATTTCGCGGCGGACCGCCAGGTAGCCGGTGTTGTTGCTGTCATCGTCGGAAGTAGTCTGACGATGCAAACGTGGATCTGCAGTTTTGGCACGAACAGTGATGATCTGCAATATAGGGTGTGGAATACCTTTAGTGCTGAATATTTCTGGAGGTGTCCACCCGAAGCCCAATCGAGACGTGTAAAATCCAACATCCCATCTGGCTCAGCCTTGAAATTGACAAATCTCCATGGAACCCTACATGGGATTCTTCAAAGTTTTGGAACCCCTATATTGACTCCCTCACCTCAAACCGTAAACTCCTAAACCCTCCACCCTAGAGCTGCATTCTATGCCATGGTCTGAAACATACTTAGAGGATCATGGGACTTAGTAAGTAGGGTGATAATTAAGGCATCTATACTTTTAAGTACTTATAACCCACTTATAACCACACTTAGCCCTAAACCCTAAACCCTTACAGGATACCGTTAAAGGAACCCTTAAAGGATACCCTTAGAGGAAGCAAAGGAACCCTTAAAGGAAGCCCTAAACCCCCAAAGAGCCAGGAAGTCGGAGAGCCGAAGTTCCCGCTCGGTGCCGCGACACGGCCCTGGGACCGGGCGGGGGTTTGGTCATTTTGGGGGCAGGGACGCCCTTTTAAAGGTATATGGTTTATGGTTTAGGGCTTAGGGCTTAGGGCTTGGGGTGTAGGGTGTGGGGTTTAGGGTTTATGGTTTAGGGTTTGAGGTTTTGGGTTTAGGGTTAGGGTTTAGGGTTTGGGGTTTGGGGTTAGAGCTTTGGGGTTTAGGGTTAGGGTTTAGGACGGTTTAGGGTTTGGGGTTTTAGGGTTTAAGGCTTTGGGTTCAGGGCTGTTTAGGGTTTACGTTAACCCTGAAGAACCTACCTTTTTAAGGACTTACAAAAGGAAAACATAATAGGGAACCCTGCAAAGGTAGGTTGTTCAGGGTTTAGGGTTTAGGCCTAGCGTTCAGGGTTTAGGGCTTTGGGTTCAGGGCTTAGGGTTGAGGGTTTAGGGTTTTGGGTCAAGGCTTAGGGTTTTGGGTTTAAGGTTTAGGGCTAGGGGTCCTTTAAGGGGTTCCTTTAAAGTTAAAGGAAGTCTTCCTTTCAATCAAGAGTATCTTGTAAGAGTACCTTATGGCATATCCTTTACGGGTTGCTTTCAGGGTATGCTGTAAGGGTTTTGGGGTGAAGGTTTAGGGTTGTAGGGTTCGGCTTAGGATTTAAGGTTTAAGGTTTTGGCTTTAAGGGCTTTTAGGGTTGAGGGTTTTAGGGTTCGGCTGAACCATGAACCATGAAGGCTAAACCCTAATCCCTCCTAAACGACTCCTCGTAGACCCCTTCATCGAGGAACCCTGTAAGCCTCTAAGTAATCCCCTAAACCCTAATCCCTAAGCCTTTAACTGAATGGAAACTTCAAAGGAACCCCTGAACCCTAAACCCTAAAGCCCTAAACTCAAGAAATCCTAAGCCTAAGTCCTATAAAAACCCCAAGCCCTAAAGCCCTAAACCCTGAAAGGAACCCTTCAAGCAAGATTCTGGAACAGGATGTTCGCGAAGGCGACATCCAAGCGCTCCATCCGCGCAGAGTCGTCAAAGCGGTTCTCCTGCGCTCTTTGGGGTCGAGACTTCATGGTTTAGGGTTAATCAAAGGGGAAAAGGAGGGACCCTTAATGGGGCACCCCTACCTATAATGGGCTACATAATGGCTATATAATAGCTATATTAAGGGTCTATACCTATGGGTACTTATACCCTAAACCCTAAACCTTAAAAACCCTAAATCCTAAACCCTAGGGGTCCTTCTTAAGGGTCCTTCCTTTTACCCTTTGAGATTTAGGGCTCCGGGTTCGGGGCGGAGGGTTTAGCTTTATAGGGCCCCTCTGGAGCCCTGGAGAGTTTCCTTTAAGCGTGCGGTTTAGAGTTTAGGGTTTAGGGGTTTAGGGTTTAGGGTTTAGGGGTTAAGGTTTAGGGTTCCTTTGAGGGCTCCGTTAAGAAATCCAGTAAGGGCTCCTCTCAGGCTTCTTGAAGGGTTCTGAAAAGGGCTCTACTGAGGGTTCCTTTACAGCTGTTTTGTTGAGGATTCCCATCAGGACTCCTTTAAAGCTTCCCCGTGAGGGTTCCCTCAGGCTCCCACGCTGCAAGGGTTTAGAATAGGGCCCCAAAAAGCACATAAGCAAAAATTAGGATAGGGATATCCCATATAAATCCCCTTATAATGAAGCCCAATAAGGTAGGGGCATCCCAATAAAATGCTTATGCTTATGTGCCTTTTGGGGCCCCTATAGAACGGCCTTGTCCTTTTTGGGGAAATTGACAGGGCCCTTTACCCCAGTCCCTTAATAAGAAGCCCTTCAAGAAGGTACCTTAACCCATCTGTCTCTTCTTTATTAGGGGACCATAACAAAGGACAATAGTGGTTTAGAAGGTCAGGGTCAGGCCTTGGGATTTGTTTTAAGGTGCAGACTTCGCGGGCTTGAAGTTTGGGGCCGGCATCGAGACTATGTAAGTAGGGCGAGTGGATCGGTTCTTCATAACAGTACTTCGTCGGTCTTTTTTCTGCGTTATCTCCCATCCATCATCCAAACGCACAGACCAACATGTGCCATGAACCTACTAGCACCTTACAGAACCACTAACCGAGTACCATAGCGGCCTCACCAATTAGAGTTTAGTGCCTCGTTCCAGGGCAGCTATTCAAAGATGCTATTGCTAATTTATTCCGAACTCGAAATTACAACATGAACTGCAAAATCACACCCGAAGCCCTAAACCCTAAACCCTATAACCCTAACCCCCAAACCCTAAACCCTAAACCTTCAGCGGAAGCGGGCCTGGAGACCCGCCTTGACGGCGCGGGTGACCTGCACCGACCCAGAAACCGAAGTCGTAAACCGAAACCCTAACCCCCCTTAACCCTAAAGTTTACCTGGACCCTGAAGAACCTACATCTTTAGGGCTCCTGATTATGATTTCGTCATATAAGTCCTTAAAAAAGGATGTTATTCGCAGTTAAGGTAGGGTTCGGGGCTAGGGCTTAACCCCTGAACCCTAAAGTCGAAGGTTTATGGCTCAGGGTTCACGGCATGGGGGTTCAGGGTTTAGGGTTTCAAAGCTGTTGCTTGGCCCCAAATACGACACCCGGCTAATATTGAAGGGCTGCTTGTAGGGGTCTTGGGATTTCGGGCCCGGGTGGCTTGGAGTCTGCGGCTCAGCACTGGAATGCCCCAAATTCGATGTCGCGCACAGATGCCCCTTCCTCCGCACAGGCCCATCCCATGTGCCTGCGTGTACAGGGCGTAGAACAAGCCGTTCCTAAGCCACAGCGTCAAGGTTTAGGGAATCGGGCTCCGACCCTGCACAGCTTGCAATTCTACCTGAAGGAGTATTCCTTACTGAAAAGATTTTGGAGTCTCTGGGTTCATGGGCTTGGAGCGGTTTGTCAAGGTCCACAATTTAACAATCCCTCTAGCCTTACATCCTGAGCTCCGCCCGATACAAGAGAACTCAACGTGCACGCCGCTTGCTCTCATTGCGGCAGTCCGAAGTAAGGGTTTCAGGCAGCTTTTGAGGTCACGTTCTGCCTTCAAGATCTCGAGCTGCACTTCTCCAGATTGCACTGCGCTGCTGTTCTGCCGTTGTTTTGAAGGATTTCTTTACTCGGCCACTGTCTTTGGGCTAGAGCACCGCCTCATCCCACTGCGAAAGGCGATAAACGACAACCTTATCGTACCGGAGGCATGCGGCTCGCCCTAAACGTTCGTTGTTTGGGGGGCAAAGCCGTTCTACTTGGAAGCGGTTTTTCGGGTTTCCGGCTCTACGACGGTGAGGATCCTTACAGGAACCTTGAAAGGAACCCCTACCCTCTGCCTTAGCCGCCGGGTGTCGGATTTTTGGCCTCCGCCGACTCCTCCACCAGAGAAAGCAGCGTTTCGATGACGCCATCCACATCCGTGGCAGGTATGATGCCTTCGGACATCCTCACATGAAACCTTGCAAAGCTCGATGAAGCAAGACTGCAACACACTATCCTGAAGTCAGTGCAGGGTTTGGGGTGCAAGGTGTAGGGTTTGTGCTGTTGCAAGAGGAAGTTTGAGCGCGGGTTTTGTGTTTGGGGTTTAACCAGGGGCTGGCATCTTCTCCTCGGCGTTTCACTGGTTAACCGAGATCGAACAGCATACAAAAGGGCTTAGGGCTCAGGTTTAAGCAGCGAAAGGGTCAGATTCAGATCCGCATTAGCAAAAGAAATGGCACAAAACTCCAAACTCTAAGTTGTGCTGCTAAAATCCTAAAGCCTAAAACCCTGTAAATCCCCAAACCTTAAATCCTATACACTAAATCCGAAACCCTTTTGCCCTACTATGATGCCTGAAGCCGCGTCGGCGGGGCGAGCGAGCGTGCGGGGTGCTTGGTTTTTGGGCACACTCAGTCCTAACCCTGAGCCACAAAGCCAACCACCCGTTAGTGTGTGAACTTTGGTGCTTAGGATTGAGGATTTAGGGTTTGGGGTCAAAAACGAAACACTGCAAGAACAGAGCATCTTGTCTTGAAGCTGACTCTCTTCTTGTATTATAAGGCTTGAGTCTTCTAAGGTTTGGGGCTCTGGGGTTCTACTGCCGGGCTCTTTCAGGAACCAACTTTAAGCTACCACAATGGAAAGGCTGCATGATTGACACGGGCCATTCCAACTCACTACCCAGACCTTCGGGAGGATCTAGAAAGTAGATCCCCTAATTTGGGGCCCTATACTACTAAGGGTACTTTATAGGAACCCCCATTAAGGGATCTACTTTCTGGATCCTCCCGGGGGTCTGGGTATTTGAAGCACCGGATCTGGCTTTGGGGACTTTGGGTGTAGGATTCAGGGCCTAGAGTGTGGGGGTTTCGGGGGCTCCTTAAGGGGATCTAGACGGTTCCTAAAGAGGATCTTTAGGGCTCCTGTAAAGGGATCTATAGGGCTCAGGATTTAGGGTTTAGGCCTTAGGGCTTTGGGTGTGGGGCTTAGGGTTTAGGATGTAGGGTGCAGGATCTAGGGTTTAGGGTTGATGGAAGCCCCATCATCTGCACGTGTCCTAAACTCGATACCTCAGGCTGCCGTCACCCCTTAGGGTTTAGGGTTTAGTCCTTCAAACCCACGTCAGCAATCGACATACTTGAACACTAAACCCTAAAACTAATCCAAAAATCCTGAACCCTAGATCTTGAACCCTAAGCCCTGAACTCTGAACCCTGTTGTCCGAAAACTCGTAACACTGAACCGCAAATCCTGAACCTGAACCCTGAACCCCTATCCTAGAATCCTAAATCTCAAAAGCCTATTCGCAGTAGTCGGAGCCTCTGTCGACAAGCTCCTTAGAGGAGCCCACCGCCAGGTGGAAGAGCAAGCAGATCCTGCTTGGAAGTTCATGGGTAATCATGAGTAGGTTTGGGGTCTAGGGTTTAAGGGTTTTGAGGTTGAGGGTTTTAGGGTTTGGGGTCTAGAGTTTAGGGTTGGCTAGTTTATAAGTAGGGGTTATAAGTAGGGTGACTCTAGTTATTACCCATGTATTAAGAGATTTATAACCCCACTTACAGCTACCCATGTAGGGGTTGGGGCTTAGAGTCTAGGGGTTTAGGGGCGTAGGGTTTACAGGGTGTTGGCCTAGGGCCTTTAGAGTTTCGGGCTCAGGGATTAAAATGACCTGTAGCGCCTATAGGTTGCAGAAGCTTTTGTAGGAGGTTTACAGGTTCATAAAGGTCGCCTATAGGTTGAAGAAGCTTCTATACGACGAGGTGTACAGGTTCGTAAAGGTGTTATAGGGGCTGGCTTTTCTAATATTGTTTTGGTTTATAAGGGCACAGTATCGCGGACCACTGATCAACAATCCTCCGTCTTTACTGGCCACAGTCAGCCGGATCCCTACCGGGTCTTTAAGGGAGGTTAAGAGTTCAGGGTTCAGGGGTGAGGGCTTGGGAGTTTTAGCCTACGGGGTTCAGGGCTCGGGGTTTAGGGGTTTGGGGTACCCTAAACCGGTTTCAACGCCCTTAGGGCTGAGGGCACGTTTAACCCTAAACTTTGAATCACCCTAAACCCTAAACCCCGAAACCCTCAACCCTGAGCCCCTCTTGCTGCTGTCGGTTATGGGGAGAACCCTGAAATCTTCGACGAGGCCTTTACAGCCTTGTTCTTCTGAGCCGACTGCACAAGGCGGCTGCGAGGTCGTGTAGCTTGCGGAGTGGAGGATTGGGGAGTTAAGGGTTGATACAAGGGCCTTAGTCATTAGAATAGGGTTCCTTTAAAGGGGTCTATAAGGGATCTATAGGAGGGTTCTATAGTATAGGGTCCTTAATAGTTAGAATGGGATTTGGGGGTATCTTATACTATACTTACAATAAGGAACCCTCAACATAGTCTAGGTAACTATGAAGGCCCCTATAGTGAGGGTTTTGGGCTTGGCGCTTGTATGGCATCGGTAGCAACAACTCCCACGACACCTGTTCGAGATCATGCACTCGGCTTTGTTCACCCTGAATGCACCTCTCTGCTTCCTTAGGTTTCACGTTTAAGAGTTCAGGGTCAGGGGTTTAGGGTCTAGAGTTTAGGGGCCAATCGTGGGCCAATCAGCCGGTGAGTTTCATGGACCAGTCACGTCGTGGTGCCGATTGTCGGGTATACCGGTGTACCCCAAACAAACCCCAAAGCCTAAACTCTGAACCCCTAAACCCTTAAAGCGCGAGGGTGCTTCGTTGTCACTTTGTCGTCGTTCGCGAACAGTCTTCCCGAACCCCTTCCGTTCCGTCTGATCGGTCGTTGACTCGATTTGCTAGGGTTCCTGTAGGACTCCTCTGAAGGCTGAAGATTTGGGGTCCGTGGTTTAAAGTTTCAAGCACCGGTCCTGATTTGTCGTTACCATACTGCACATAATCCAGGTCAAAATCCCACAACAAAAATTGCATCTTCCTTTGCTTCCGTACTAAAGCCCGGTGAGACACCTCGCTGAAAATGCTGCAAGCTACACCCTCACAATTGCACTGAGTCCCCCCTTTCCAGACCCTAGACCCCAAACCAGACTCTAGACCTCACACCCTAAACTCTAATCTAAACCTTAAACTTAAACCCTAAATACCAAACCTTAAACCTTAAACTGCACACAGTAAACCCTAAATCCCAAACCTTAAACCTTAAACTGCGCATCTTAAACCTAAATACCAAACCTTCAACCTCAAACTGCACATCTAAAACCTAAATACCAAACCTTAAACCTGAAACTGCACATCTAAAACCCTAAATCCTGAACCCAAGCGTCCTGACCAAGGTCTCGAGCCCGACGTAGACCCGAGTTATGCCTTCAACGGGGATCAGATACGGGTGGTACTCAAAATTATGGTCCCCTTTTTGGGTCCCTATCATTATACAGCACCTGTTATTTAGGGTACCCAAAAAGGGACCTAGCTTAAATAAGCAACCCTAAGGAATGATGTTAGGTCTCATTCCAACCCCTATACTATCAGGGCTTCAGATGCTGGATGCCTGTCAAGGAACTCGTAAAATGTCAAAAGTAACCCTAAAGCCCTAAACCCTGAAACAGAAGCTTTGAACGGATCCCCAAAGGAACCTCGACAGGAATCCCTTCGGATCTTCTTTAAGGGTTCCTTTAAGGGTTCAGGGTTTATTAGGGTTTAGGGTTTAGAGTTTAGAGTTTACGGTTTAGGGTTTAGAGTTTAGGGTTTAGGGTTTAGGGTTTAGGGTTTAGGGCTTAGGGTTTAGGGCTTAGGGTTTAGGGTTTAGGGTGTTCCTTCAGTGTTCCTTTACCCAGACGGTCCATATACACTGCCATTATGGAAGGGAGTCCCCGAAAGACCATCCTAATAATGGTTTTGGACCCTTGACGGAACCCGAAAGCTTTTAGATATTTGTGGAAGCCCGATCAAGCCCTATTGATCCCTTTACGGGAGTCCCTAAAACCCGAAACCCGAAGCCTAAACCCAAAACCCTAAACCCGAAGCCCGGAGTAGGCCTGTGGTGGCCTTGGCGCCGGCATCGGCTCCCCCACTCCTGCCTGAGGCTGTCGGAATCTGCAAAGCCCAGAGACTCCAATACCCCTTAATTAAGGAACATCCCTTAAATCATATTAGGGATCCTACTATAATTTACGGTATATTCCTTGTTTTGGAGTCTCTGGGGAGGCTCGAGGAATCTGCAAAGTGCTCCTTTAAGGGTTCCTGTACCGGTTCTCTAAGGGTTCCCCTAAGGGGGATCTGGACATTCAAGGGATCCATGATGCTTGAGGTTTAGGGCTTTGGAAGGTTCTACAAGGACTATGCAGTGCTTCTACGATGCCTTTACAATTTTTCATAGAAGGTTCTGTAAGGGCCCAGGGCGTTGAGGCTTTTCTGGGGTGGTGAAGGATTTTGCGACAGCCATGAACTGCCGACAACGTCACCGCCATCGTGCGGTAATGCTAAAGCACAGGCTGAACGAGGCCTGTGTGTTGGGATCCTAAACACGCTACCCTAAGCCGGCAAGCTCAAACCCCTGGTGTTGGGCTTCAACCTGCATAGCTGCCATCAAATTTTACGACTAGGCCCTAAACCCTATACCAATACCGCAAAAGCCCGAAAAAGCCCAAGACCCCGATTGAAACCAGGGGAAGGCCTTACCGCAAAACCCCGAACCCTAAACCCTAAATCTTGAACCCCAAACCCTAAACCCTGAACCCCAAACCCTAAACCCTGAACCCACTGTCCATCGGCCTGACGTCACATCTGGATGCAGCGGCTTCTCCGCCTGAAGGATGTCACTTACCTGGCACCGGATTGGGGATCAGAGTGTAGTATAGGGGCCTTAAAAATTAGAATAGGGTTCCTTTGGAGGGATGTATAAGGGATCTATAGTAGGGTTCCATAGTATAAGGTCTTGGGATATATCTTACTATACTTAAAAAAATGAACCCCAAAAATAGTATAGGTAATTATTGAAGCCTGTAAATAAATATAAGG